TGTGTGTGTGTGTGTGTGTGTCTGGAATGTTTCTCACTTACAGAAGAATGACACTTTCTCAGCACATGAAGAAGCTGTTTGACTTTTACTAAGTTCACGTTTGACTTCACTGTGAAATTCCTCAGAGTCAAAGTTAAACTTTTCATGATGTTTTTTCTTACTATGATTCTCACACTGAACTTCATTAATTAAAACGTTTCTCTTTCAATGACTCATACTTATAGAAGTTTATAGATGATGTCATCTGCAGCTGTAGACTTCAGGTCATGTCTGAAAACTGCTTCAGTGAAAATGCAGAGAAATCTGAAAGTCACCAGTTTGGAAGGAGTCGGTTGAACTAAAGGAAAATAAAGTGCGAAGGTTGTTTTCAGGGACAGAAGCTGGAGAAGTTCCTGATCAGAGACGATGTCTGACATGGACTCACAGCAGGAATGTGACTCCACAGAACCACAGAGAAGTCAAACATGAGGAATGCTGGGAACTGTGTGTTCAGGAGGAGAGGTTACTACAGGTCGGGTTAGCTGTGTGTCATTGGTACAGAATCATTTTATACATCTTGTGGTGTCATATCGATAAAGGCAGCGTTGAATACATTCCACACGTATGACACAGTTCTGCATGAACCATACATGTCAGGCTCCGAGTGACGAATCCATGATGATCAGGTGACACACGTCTGAACTGAAGTGAAAAGTGTCTTTGCTTCATTCAGCGTCAGTTAATCTGACATTATTGAATTCATCATCTCTGTTAACGTCACGTTCATCATGTTGAGGATCTTTTGCTTGTGAGTCTGTTGAATGGACAACGTAGGTTTGTCGTAACCACGTATCCTGCGACACCACAGAAATGTAACAAGGTGTACCTGAATGCAACAGCAACAACTGTGATTGGTCGACTTGTCTTGTCGGTGTTTCTCATTGGATGGACAAACACACTCTCTCTCCTCTGACAGGTCACATACATCATAAATATGACGACTGTATTTCCTTGCATAAAGTAGGTCTATGTAAATAAATACCAGTACTTTACAGTATTCAACTTCTGCTCCTGCAAATATTACACAACAAAACTCTTTTTCAAAGTAAATGCATTCAGTCAACAGAAGTGTTGGAGTGCTTTTATTTTGAAATGGGTACAGGAAGTGTTGCAAATGATTTTTATGACATGAATTCATCAGGTTACCATTAAAACAGAACGATGATTGTCTGTTTATTCTGCTGTGAAACAAACATGAGTGTATAAACTTCCTGTGCACAGACAGAACGTTCGCACATCAGTCTTTGTTGTGTCTCTTTTAAAATGTACATGTATGTTACATCAGTAACTAACACGTGTTAGTGAACACTGTCATCTGTGTGACGTATCTGTGCTCCGCCCCCAGGTGGATCGAGGCGTGTCTGGACGAGGAGTTACCTCCCACCACAGAGCTGGAGGAGGGGCTAAGGAACGGCGTCTATCTGGCCAAACTGGGAAATTTCTTTGCCCCACGAACCGTCTCCCTGAAGAAGATCTACGACCGCGAGCAAACACGCTACAAGGTGAAACCCTGTGTTCCAAATTAAATCATCGCTGAGGCTTCGTTTGAAAACTCATCGTCTCTGCTACGGATTCGTCCGACGTCAACAAGACTCCAGTTAAAACTGTGGGGCTGCGTTTGAGTCTGGATGAACAGAAACTGAGATGTTTGGAAACATGACAAAGTCAAATTTATTAGAATAAACTTGATGGTTGCTGAGACGGTGATTAAGTGAGATGACGTGTTTCAGACACTGATTGGCCTCGTTAGAGACAGGAAGTGTTCAAACTAAATCCCAGAGTGAAGAGAAAAAATGACGCAGCTCTAGAACCAGAGTCACAGAACATTTCTCAAAAAGATTGAAAGAATTTGTGTCCAGAGATTTGTGATTCTACACGAGTCTTTACTTTATTCATTCATTTCCTCTGCATCTCTTTGTAAACTGTGTGAACGTAGCTTTGTATTAGTTTGAGGCTGAACTGAGCGTTTGAGGAGAACCTCATGTGTGTGTGTGTGTGGTTTCTCTCCTCCAGGCCACAGGTCTCCACTTCAGACACACTGATAACGTCATCCAGTGGCTCAACGCCATGTCTGAGAAGGGGCTGCCGAAGGTGAGTCTCCAACAACACTCATCACATGTTAGCGTGAAATCAGACCGGTGGTAATAATGTGTTTGTTTGTGAAACATTGAACAAGATGTGAATCATCTTGTGGAGGAATCAAGAATTTATCAGCAATGAAATATAATTAAATAGAAGACCAGATTTGAATGGTTACTTTTACCTTGAAGATGTTTTCACATCGGTCTGTTGGTTTGTCAGCAGCAAAAAACGCTGAATATCATCAAACATGTTGTGGATTCACTCCAAAGATTTATTAAGACGACTGATTTCCATGAATGTGACAATTAGCTGCAGCTTCATTGAATTAAAGTGACTCTCAGTTTTCCATATTTCCATGTAAAACTATTCATGTCAGACTTTTCAAACCTCCTGGAAGTTCAAAATCTATTTCAGTGGTAAATGCATTGGAGAAGCTCAGTAGATTTTTAAACTAAAAAAAAATAAGTCAACACATTTTGTGTCAACTGTTTGTCTGATAATTTTTCCAGCCTGTCAACATTTGTCTCAATGTTGGTGTGAAGAAAATTGACTTTGTCCATTTTCAGCTTCAGCAGAGAATCTGAGGAGCTGCCTCAAAGTGTCAGTTGTTCCTCAGAGACGATAACAGGGCGTGAATTCACATTTACATTGTGAAATCCTCCAGATGAGCTAATCCTGAATCACTCACATGCTGCAACACGCTGCTTCACTCTCACAGACTCTGTCTCTGCCTGTGTTTCAGATCTTCTACCCTGAGACCACAGACATATATGACAGAAAGAACATGCCGCGCTGCATCTACTGCATACATGCACTCAGGTACTCTCTCTCTTTACCTCTCTCACGATACAGCCTCAGAGGCCACATGAAGTTTAACCAGTGCATCTGATGAATTCCTCACACGTCAGAATGTGTGCGCCTGAACAGCTGCAGATTCTCTCCGTGCACGTCGTCACGTTTTATGAGGTGAACGTTGCACTTTTTAGCAGGAAGGAATTCAGAGGGTTTTACTAGAGTGTCAGGAAGTGAAGAACACAAGCACAGGGCTGGTGTTTGTGTGCCTGTGTATGTTGAGTGTATATGTGTATATATATGAATTGTGTGTGTCTGTGATTGTGCTGTGTTTCTTCATGTCGTGTTTGTGGGTCATGTTTTACAGCCTGTACCTTTTCAAACTGGGCCTGGCTCCTCAGATCCAGGATCTGTACGGAAAAGTGGATTTCACCGGTAAGACTGAACATGAGTCTGTCCCAGTTAAATCCAGAGCTAATGTGTCCATGTTGGTCGAATGAACATGAAGTTAAAAGTTCATATCGTCAGCACAGTTTCTGCAGTTTGTGTTTCACATGTGAAGCAGCAGCAGCAGATTGTGTCTGACAGCAGCGTCAGTCGGCTGCGAGTCAAACATGATGCGTCTGAGAGTGGAGGAGCTTCTGGAAATGTGGGAGTTGTTAGAGTTTGTCTCACTTCTCTCTCCTCCTCCACGGATCTGTTCATTCTGCAGAGGAGGAGATCAACAACATGAAGAGCGAGCTGGAGAAGTATGGAATCCAGATGCCGGCCTTCAGCAAGATTGGCGGGATCCTGGCCAATGAGCTGTCGGTGGATGAAGCTGCATGTGAGGCTCAGATGTCACGGGGATGGGGGGGGGGGCATTTTACTGTTTCACTGTTTAAACACAGATGCATTTGGTTTCATCATTTTAAACTTCACAATAAATCAGCTTTAATCCCCAATATTTTAATGTCAATGACTCAATCAGCTCATATTTAGTCATTTTCATTTTCACACCTTTAAAGATTAGATTCACTTTTTCCTCAGTTATTTTCTGTTTAATTGTTTTCACAAAGTTAAAGTTGGATATTTATTATTTTGCACGTGTGTGTGATTCCTTTAATATCGTCTACTCTAATTCAAATAGAAATATTTCCCAGTAAAATGAAATACATGTATATCAGACAATGATTCATATTCAGAACATGAATCAGTAAAGTAAAACCAACATTCGTACACCGCATCCTCAGTCTTCTCTTCCACCCTCAGTACATGCTGCTGTGATCGCCATCAACGACGCCATCGACCACGGCGTACCGGAGGGCACGCTGGCGGCCATGGAGAACCCCAACGCCATGCTGGTCAACCTGGATTCCAACTCTGCTCGCCTGTACCACGACACGCTGTACCAGGCCAAGGGAAAAAAGGTTGCCAGCTCACGCAAACGGGTACGATGACACGTCAGTAACGGAGGGAGCACGTGTGTCGTCTCAGACGAGCAGGAATTCATATCTGCGGCCTGAAGTTTCCTCTGGAGACTGAAACATTTTCATTTCATTAAAAGCATCATTGTGACAAACGCTGGCTGAAAGATCAGCTGACGCCAGAGAGAGTGAAATAAAATCATGAGTAGATAAAATCCTTCTGACCGGTCGCACTTCATTTATTTACTGTTGCTCTTCACTTTCATGTTGCTCTGTCTCTGCAGCAAATGGAAAACGCCGACGCAGAGAGAGACGTCTACGACGAGCTCCTCACTCAGGCTGAAATCCAGGGCAACGTGAATAAGGTCAACGGTACGTGACACATGCACTGATCTGCTCATTCCTCTTGGTTTCCATGGCGCAGGCATAACGTGTCGACCTTTCTCCTGCAGTGAGCAACGCTCTGAGAGCAGCTGAGGAGGCTCTGCTGAGCGGGAACGAGGATCAGCTGTACGAGGCGCTCAGAGCCATGGGCCTTCAGAACCTGCAGCCACAGAACAAAGGCTGGTACCTGAAACAGCTGCAGGCCGACAGAGAGAACAAAGAGCAGGTACGGATTATCATCACCATCTCACCTGGATTAGATTAATTTATTACCATCTCACCTGGATTAGATTAATTTATTACCATCTCACCTGGATTATATTAATTTATTACCATCTCACCTGGATTAGATTAATGTATTACCATCTCACCTGGATTATATTAATTTATTACCATCTCACCTGGATTATATTTCATCAATGTCTTTCTAATCTCACATGGATTTGTTCCCTCTAAGACGTCGCCAGGAGAAGCTCTGACTAAGGACGAGTTGCAGAGTGGCGTGGGCGTGGCCAATGAGGTTGCAGAAGGCTACCTGAAGAGTATGAGTTCACTCATACACTCACACCTTCTATATTATATTACATTCATTATAATCTCACCTGGATTATAAAA